CACAGGCCAGGCCAGAGCTAGAGAGACAACACTGGGCACTGTCAGCACGAAGTAGGCATTTAAAGCCTGTGCGTCCCCTACGGCCCCTTCGAGGTATTTATGTTTCCTCATAATAAATGTTGTGTACCTTCTACTATAAATTCCAGAAGCAGCAACCTCCTGCTTCCAGAGGCAAAACCGCCAGACTTTGTTTTCTCCGGAGGTCTCCCTGGGCCTTATCTCCTGGATGAGATCCCCTGCTCCACAAGGACACAGTTACCCGTCCACTTCACCGTGTTCTGTGGAGCTCTTCTTACATTCAAGTCCTCTGCTTCATTTTTGAAAGCATCTCCTCTGGTACTTGGAAACCTGGGTTTCTTCCAACGATGCTCCTTCCCTCTGCTTTCTTCTCCCCACATCAGCAAGGGCAGGGGGCAGAGGCCGGGCCACTGTTCCCCTCTCCCCTGCACCATGGGAACCTCCTCCTTTTAAAGCCCATACCTTTTGCATTTGCCATGCTCTTCCAGTCTGCACAGCAGTTTTTTTGTTTTTTAATATATTTTTATTGATTTCAGAGAGAGGAAGGGAGAGGGAGACAGAGATAGAAACCCGGGCATGTGCCCTGACTGGGAATAGAACCTTGACCTTCTGGATCCTAGGTGGATGCTCAACCGCTGAGCCATGCCGGCCGGGCAAGTTCAGTTTCCCCCCACATCTCATTCCCTACTACCATCTTTAGAGACTTTGAGACCACAAAGACGAGTCTTACACTCTGGCCTCTCAGTGCTTCAGCTTTGGGATCACTTACCTACATGGTGTTCTACCATGAAGACCTTGAAAAACGTGCTTTGGGTAAACTCAAGGGTCTCCTTCCTGCGCCTTTCTCCTAGGCTGCCAAGCACTGCAGGAGTCGGGTCACCCTAAAGAGCCTGTGGCTCCTGACCACCTGACCTCAGAGAGCCCTCAGGGCCCCATTCTCCTTTGTTGGTCTGTCACGCTGCAGGTGACAGCTGTCCCCCGCCCCTTACCTTTCCTCCTGCCCGGCTCTCACTCAGCGGCCGTCATCTCCTGCGCTGAGCGGAGGCCCCGGCCAGCTCCTGGCTTCCGTCCCCCGGGATGGATCCTCCCCCGCCCGCGGCTGACCTCCTGCCCTCCGCATCCCACTTTCCCGTCTTCACTGGATTCATTCTCTCTCCCCTCTCCTATGTTTTCAGTAACTTTCTCTCTTCTTGTTCCTTTTCTTCATTTTACAAATTCAACATTTTTTCCCCTTGAAAATAGAACATCCTTCCCGGACTCTTTTTCCCCTCAAATGTCCATTCCGTCTCTTGCCTTCCTTTTCTGTGTGATGTCTCAAGAGTCTAATTCCCTTAACTAACCACTTTTTTTGGGAACCAGTAACATTTTCCTCGCCTATAAAGCTCGTGGGTTGAACGAGAGACGGTGCTCGGAGCCCCTGGCTTTGCACCCGCCCCCTCCTCACCTCCTCCTCGTTCCTCAGCCCGCGTAGAGTGATTTCTGCCCCTCTGGTAAGTGGAAACTATCTTTTCGAAATCTGTAAGCATCTAGTTTCTGAACCTAAATGATTGTTTCAGCCCTTCCCTCCCCGGCCTCTTTGAGGCATCAGAGGCGGCCTCTGGCACGGCTCTCGCTCGCCCAGCCTCTGCTGCCCGCCTGTCTCCTCCTTTGGTGCCTCTTCCTTTGATCACCCTCAGGCTCTCTGCTCATCCCCTCAGAGGTTCAGCCCCCACCGGGAGAGGAGTGAGGCCCAAACCCCCCGGAGCTCCACCCCCGCTTGCTGGAAATCTCCACGTGCGTGGCGTGGGCACCTCCAGCTCCGCGGGCCTCTCCCAGCACCTTCCTAGCTAAGCAGGCGCCTAAGTAGCACGTGCAGCTGTTACCTGCACACTTGTGCAGCGTGTGTTTCAGTAGAAGGCCAGTGCCGAGGGCAGTGACTTTATCTCACTTACGCCCATTGTCTAGCAGAGCACTTTGCTCCTGTTGGCAGCTGGGTAAAAACGTACTGATTGAATGTCTAAAATGAACTCCTCACCTTTCCCCACAGCCAGGCATCTCCTTGGCTTAGGGCACATCACCCTTCCAATCCCCTAGGCTCAAAACTTGGAGTCATCTAAGACTGCTCTTCCCCGACTCCCACCACCCAATCAGTTGTCTTGTCTTGACTTATCCTCTTGAAGTTTATAAAACCTGTTCCTTCTTTTAATGCCACCTGAAGTTACTGGGACCTACGGGGTAAGTACGCGGGTCTTAAAGTAAAGTAAGTTTAATAATGATTCCATTGCTCTTTAGCTGTATGGCCTTAAGCAAGTTACAGGACGTATGAGCCTCACTTTCCTCATCTGTACAATGGAGACCGGCCCCCACCTCCTGGACAGTCGATGGCAGGATCACTAATGTTAGGAAAGGGGCCAGGTCACACGTAGTAGGTGTTTAGAACATCGTTTTCTTCTTTCCTCGTGTCTGCACCGCAGCGCCCTCCTGCACCGAGGTCACCTGCCACCCACAGGGTGAAGCCGAATCCCCTGGGGCATGCCGAGCCCAGCACCCTTCTCCAACCCTGGCTCACTCACACCTGTGCTTCGTCACCTCGGGGCAGTCATTTCCTCTACATACTGTTTTCTGACTCCTTGCCTCAAGCCATTTCATTTCCCTCAGAGCCCTTCCATCCACAGAAATCCTACCCATTTGGTCAGCACAAGCTCTCCTCAGAGGCCCCTCTTTTGTACCCACCACGCCCCCTCCACCCTTACTCAGCATGCCTCAGGTCTTCAGTGGGTATGGCTGCCTCCCCTATGGGACTGTAAACTTGGAGCAGTTTGAATTTATCTTTGGGCTACTTGGCACATGGTTGATAGAGTCTCTCTGGGTCCTTTTCCTAATTTAACCGACTTGCCCTGACCCTAAACCCCAAACAGACTCTCTTCAGTCTCACCGGTCTCATTCCCAATCCTGTTTCTCTAATTGAAACCCAGGCACCCTCCATGGAGAACCAATTCCTCCACTCAACTCTGGACGACATGCACTCTCCCACCTCCCACTTCATGAGAGGCACTGAGTCACCCCTTGGGGATCCCTGGGCCCCCTCCCTGCCCCCACCTCAGTGAACAGGATGCCTGCAGCCTGGCCCCAGGGGGTCAGAGGAAGCCAGGGCCTCTAGGGCTCAGTATTTTTATCAGCCTAGGAAAAAGAGACGCAGAAGCGGAAACGGTGTGGTCAGAGAAAGTGAACAGCCTTCATCTCAGGGGAACCCCCAACAGGGCTGGGGGCCAGACACCAGGTAGGGACCCTGCAGAGAAGGAGGTCTGGGGGCCAGGAATCAGGACGTCCTTTGCTGTGTTTTTATGTAACTCTTGAGAAGGGGAAGCCATGTGCTTATAAACCAGAAAAAAGTCTGGATGGAACAAATTTGGACACCAAAGTTTTCTGATGCTTACCTGTCAACCCCCAGCTTGGGATTCAAACCCCAACTCCCCC